TGAATAATTTCAATTATCCTGTCTTCAAGTTCACTGACTCTTTCTTCTGTTAAATCAAGTTCTGCTGTTGGATCTAATGAATTTTTTAGTGCAGATATTTTGTTCTTTTTCTCTAGGATTTCTATTTGTTTTTGTTAGTTGTTTCTATTCCTTTGTAAAATGTATTGTTTTTTCATGAATTGTTTTTCAAATTTCATTTAAGTTTTATTCCTATTTTCTTGGAGTTCACTTAATTTCTTTAAGAGGATTATTCTTAATTCTTTGTAATTCATTTTTTAGACACCTTTTGGGGTCTATTATTTGAGATTTATTATTTATTATAGATGCCACAAAAGTGGCATCACAGCTACCTGTGATTTTTCATAATCTTTGTTTTCTTGAATTGATGCCAGTGTATTTGAGGAGAGGGCTACTTCTTCTGGACTTTGTAGATGTTCTTTGGGAGTGAAATGGATCTTTTAGTATGTTGTCTAGGCTGGGACTCTGGATCAGCTGGCTGATAGCAACCCCAGAGAAGTAGACCTTGGTTTCAGGTTCTGTAGTTGTGCTGGGTCACTTCTTTGGTTCCACGGTCAAACAATACTTCTGGCCCCCAGCTCTTTTTGTGAGAACATGACGTGAACTCAGCCACCAGGCAGAGTGGCTGGTTGGGCTTTGCAAACACCTCTAAGCAGGTAGATGTTTGGTCTGTTGTCTTCCCTAGTTGGACAATGCTGTTTGGAATCTATAGTTGTGAAGGGCCATATGCTGGATTCTGAGGCTGGGTAAGGTCTGTGTGGTTGATACTTGTCTATGATGGTGTGACAGGGCCAGAGGCTGTGCCCAGTATGTGTCGACTTGGGTTTACATTACAGCCTAGAGTGGGCTAAAGCCAAGCACTGAGGTTTGCTAGGGTCATTATGAAGGGTTGGATGGGGCCAGATTCTCCCTCCATGGTTGACTGCCGAAATGAAGTTACCTCCTGGCTTAGGGAAGATGTTCCAATATGGTTTTTCTCTGGTCCAAGGGGGTTGTCTCAGCCTTGCATCTGAGTTCTGTTATATTTGTGATAGCATTTTTTCCATTGAATAGTTGATAGCTGGATTTCATTGTGTGGGTTTGTGGAGGTGAAGCCAGAAAATTCCTATTCTGTTATCCTGATGACATTGTTTTCTAAGATGAACTTTGAATTTTAATATTTTAATGATAATGTGCCTTTATGTAGATATTTTTACGTTTGACCTACTTGGGATTCTTTGGGCTTCATGAATGCAGACTTTCTTTTCTGTCTCCACAGAATGAATATGAGTTCTTGTTATTCTACATCTTTGCTGGCATTTGGTGTTGTCATTATTTTGGATTTCTGTCACTCTAAATGGAAGTGTAGAGATACTGCATTGCTGTTTTAATTGACCCTTCTCTGATAACATGTAGCATTGAACATATTTTCACATGCTTATTTTCTTCCTGTGTTTTAGCTATCAATTTTACTTTGTTTCTACTACCCTGTCTCCCAATATTGTCTTCTGAAAGTGTGTGTGCATGTTGTGATGAAAATAGAAAAGAAGGAGAGAAGGGAGCACTTGTCAAAAAATGAATGAAAATTTGATAAAGTATTCAGAATTCAATCGATTAGCCAGAATTTGTGCCTGTGAGACCTCTATGTAAATAGATTATCAAGCCTCTGTCTTCCTACCTTTTTTCCAGTAGTCAATAGCAATGAAGAATTGAGAGGAAGGAAGAGTGAATAGTAGATTACACTGTGCCAGATTAGATGCTACCTAATATGTGTAAATGGTATTCTGGAGTTTGTCCAACTCTCATTTTCCTGTTTTTAATCTCAGTTACAAGCTTGATGGCAATCTGAATTAATGTGCCTCTGTTTTACTTTATAATTATATTTCACATGCTCATGTTCGAAAAAAATGTTCCTCTCTTCCATTTACATTGGGCCTATTTAAAGATGATGATGCAAAATGTGAAGATTCTGGGGCATGTTCCCTTGACTCCCTTCTTTTAGTTTTGAGAAACACAAATGTGTATAACTTCCTCTTAGGTTTTTACTTATCCTTATTAAAGGAGAACTTGACTGCTGATATTCAGTTAAATATTATTTTGAATTATAATTATGAATCATATTCTCTGAATGTGAAACAAAACCAGTTAGTAAATATACATGTTTTCTAAAACTGAAAAATGTTTTAGTTAATATTATTTTGAAAAATCTACTTTACAATTGAAATAGTTTGGATTAAATTTTAGTTTTTTCTTCAAACTTTTTGTGAATAACGTTTCCTTTAATTCTCATGACAAGCTAATAAAAATGGTAACTATTTTCAATTTTGATTTACAAATAAAAACCAAGTCTGGGATTTGATATAATTTTCATAACATTACGAGGCTGGAAAGTATTAGAGCCAGGATTTAGGTTCATGCTGTCTTACTCTAGAGAGCAAACTCTTAATTGTTGTATCTACCACACACTATAAAGCTAAAATAAATGCAATTCATGATCATTGCATCAATTTCCTAATGTTTCCATGCTCTAGGCCATTTGAAAAAATTTTAAATGAAGGTATAATGTAGAAGTGAGGCATTTATTACTAATGTGGGAGACCAATAGAACTGGCCTAAAACTGTAATTTTGATAATTCTAAGCCAAAAGAACCTCAAGGAATTGATATGTTTATTTACTTGAACTTTAGATTTTCATCTGGAAAATTTTATTTTTCAATAGAAACAGCAAACTGTATTATTTTAGTGAAACACAAGTAAGTATCATAAAAACAAAAAAGGCTTTGGACACATCAAACACTATTTGTTTGTGAAATGAGGGGATAATTAGAATTTACAATCACTCTTTTAGTTCAATCACTTCTGAGGGATGGTGGTAACTCCAAGATTATTCATTTGATGAATATGGTATTTTGAAAAAATTTAATAATTTTACTTCATTTGCCCAGTTTCTATTTGACTACTACTACTTTTAAAATAAATAAAACATTCCATTATTTCTTTCCCTATATAGCTTTTCTTATTCTATTTTCCAACCTTTATTTATTTACTTACAATTTAGCTTATTTCTTTCCTTCTAAAATTCCTATTTTCAATTAATTATTCATCAGAAAGATAAATCAACATAAAGGCCTGTATAAGGTGTGTGTGTGTGTGTGTGTGTGTGTGTGTGTGTGTGTGTAGGGGGTTGGTGTTATGTTGAAGATGATTAGATAAGTTTTTTAGAATTACTGTTTTTCCATTGTCTTTTAAATATATGGCCCTCTTCATTCATGACATGTCAATTTGGGGACACTACAGCAAGTACTGGGATCATTATGTCCCAGTAAACAGAACAAAGTCAGTACACAGAAAACTCATTCTATTTTACTGAATTTATTTTAACCTTTTTTACTGGAGGACATGGCTGAAATTGGTAACATTGTCACATACAATAATAAGTAACAAGATTAAAGATGAAATCAATATGGTAGCAGCTATAAAGTTGTGGTAGGCATTACTATACTGAAATCAAGGAATACTGACTTTATGACAGAACTCATGACATTCACTTCTAAAGTATAGCTGTTAATCTGCTCTGCTCACTTTGGGTATGAAAATTCTATTGGCAATTTTCACTCATGAATTTATATGGCCCCTTTATTAGGACAGGACAAGTAGGGAGAGAAGATGAATTCCTACAGCACTAGTGAGTTCTGAACCCCCCCCCCCTCCAGCTAGAGGCAAATGTCCTGAGTATTGCTGCCTGAATTCTTGTGGTAATTTTAGTTATTTCATTGACATTATCCAACTTTGAACAAAATAGATTATATATTTTGGCTTCAAAGCATGTTCTTCTACCTTTTGTTATAGTCCAAAAATATATTGTACCTCCAGTATACTGAAATTTTTAAAAAGTACTTATTTAAAATTTATGATACATTATATTTGTATATATTTATGTGGTACATGTGAAGTTTTGTTACATGCTTAGAATACGCAATGATCAATCAGGGTACTTAGGACATCAATCACCCTAGTATTTCTATGTCTTTGGTACATTTCAGGTCTTCTCTTCCAGCTCTTCTGAAAAATACAATACCTTGTAAACTATTAACCCTACTCTACTATCAAATATTAGAACTTATTCCTTCTAACTTTAGGTGTGTACTTCTAACTGATCTCTCCTCATGCCCCACCCACCCAATTTGGTTTTTGCCACCATCCATTATTTTATACTGTTGCCTTTTATAAATCTCAGAATCATAGAGTTCTGTTGCTATAGCTCCACTACACTAATCACTAAATAGCTGAATATCTCAGGGCTTTGCAACACTACGTTAAACATTTTCATAAATATTATTTCTAATATCTGAATAGCCAGGGAAACCATAAGGGAAAAATTGAGTTAGATTATTGCCACATCTAAAAATCCTTTTATTAAAATATGGAACTTTCCAAACACAAACTAGTGATAAAATGAAATAAGCTGTCTTGATAACCAAGTTGACTCCTTTGCCCTGGAAGTGCTGAAGAGGAAGCTTGAGATCTTATAAAAATGTGTTATTTAAGGAATTCAATATTATAGAAGAGTGGCTGCACTTTATTTAGGGATGCTTACAAGTTGGAAGAGTAGTGATTACATAGATGTCTTTCTTCTGATTAAACCAGAGTGTAGAGAGGATTGTGATGTGTCATTCACAATCAGAATACAGCTTTCACAGAAAGAATGAGATGAAAGATTTCAGAGAAGTTACCAGTCTGTGGTCAAAAGCACAGGAAAAAAAGTAAGACATTCAGGTGCATTAGATGAGGGTTAGTCAGGGTTAAACTTTAGACTCAGCTTGGCTGGGAAGAAGGAAACTGATGAGGAAAGAATATTTGTCCATAATTATCTGAATTGATCTGCACTTTTTCTGGCTCTGACACAAAAGGCAAGTTCTTTCACATTCACAATATCTGTCAACTAACAAAACGAGGACGCCACACACTTATATGTGACCATATGCTATTTCTATAATATTCAGACACTGTCCCCTTTGACGTCTGTACTTAGTCTAATCATGACTCCATAACTCATCAGGTCAAGCCCTCAATTCATCTTTTGCTTTCTGAAGTGATTTTGACATGCCATAACTTTTTCATGGCGTTTTTCACTTCTGCATTCCTCAGAGTGTAGATGAGTGGGTTGAGAAAGGGTGTTCCGATAGTGTAGAATACCGCCACCATCTTATCCATGGGGAAAGTGGTTGGCGGGCGTGTGTATATGAATATGCACTGGCCAAAGAATAGGATGACTACGATGATGTGAGAAGTGCAAGTGGAGAGAGCTTTCTTTCTTCCTTCTGCACTGTGGTTTCGCAGAGAATGTAAGATGACGATATAGGAAATCATTAAAATTACAAAACTACTTGAGCAAATTGCCCCGCTGTTAGATACCAATAGCAGATTGATCATGTAAGTGTCCAAGCGGGCAAGTTTCAATAAGGGCTGCAGATCACAGCAGTAATGATCAATCAAATTGGGTCCACAAAAAGGCAACCTTAAAGCCAGGATGATCTGAGCTGTAGAATGTATAAAAGACCCTATCCATGCAAGAATGATCAGGATGATGCAGGTCCGCCGGCTCATGATGGTTGGGTAGCGCAAGGGTTTACAGATTGCCACATAGCGATCCACAGCCATGAGGATCAGGACAAAGATTTCCATGCAGCCAAATAAATGTAATGCAAAGACTTGTGTCATGCATTCATTGTAGGATATAACTTTCTTTGGAGAGAGAGCATCCACAACTAGCCTAGGGGCTGTGGAAGTTGAAAAGCAGAAATCAGCAAAGGACAAATAAAACAGGAAGAAGTACATGGGGCTTCCCAGTGTCCGACTGGATTTGATGGTCACGATAATGAGCATGTTCCCCACCATAGTTCCCACATAGAAAATTAAGAAGATTAAAAACACTACTTTCTGCCTTAGCGGATCTTGTGTCAATCCAAACAGGATGAACTCAGTGACACTGTTATTTTGCTTCATTGTTTCAGTTGATGTGGGAAAACCACAAATTAGAAATTGTTAATCTGCAAAGAAGAAAAGGAAAAAATAAAAAAAATGAATAACTAAGTTTGGAGGATGCATGCATATTCTTAGCCACAAAACTGCAACTTTACCATGGGTTACAATTTACCATTGTGGGTATTTTTTTCTAAATAAAATAAAATTCATAGTAATTATTCAAAATAGTTACCAAATTGTACATGAAAACAATGAAATGGGAAATAGAAAAATAATTAAAAAGCAAAAAATTTGTCAAGCAAAGTAAATATTAACTTAGTGGATTTGGTCTGAGTATATTCCTTTCTGTGATGGATGTGTTTTTTTTCTTTTTGGTTTTCAGCAAGGAATTATCAATATTTTTTAGCAATAATAGATATGTTGCAGTAATAGAAAAAATTTTGTATGATTAACTTCAATATGGTTTCGCATTATTTGAACAGAGTAGTCCCATTTTAAAATACTTATCTAGAAAATATTCTAATCATTCCAGTAATTATTGTTTAAATATCGAGAGTACACACACACACACACAAACACTAAGTACAAAATTTTAGCAATAAGCAACAACCCAATCAGTCAAGTCTGGCACAAGACTTATAAGACGTATTTTAATCTCATCTTGACCATGTTCATTTCCTTTTAACAGACATCTCAAAATTTTCTAATTCTTTTCACTTTTAAATTTAGCCCCTATTATCAAACTTTGTACTGCTTCATCGTACTGTGTCATCCAAAGTTAAATTCTTTCCCTTTTCATTGTTTTTCCATGTCATTCGACATGTTTCCATAAGTCACAAGAAGACACTGGGACTATAGTGAAGGAAAAAGAGAGAGAATGATTGACATCAATGAGAATATTCCCTCCAATTTCACGTTTACAGGTGGACACCAGCTGTAATGAGTGAGCTCTGGATGTTCCAAGTAAGGACTGAAACTTTCAATAAATGTTTTTAGTATTTATATTCTTAAGCATTCGATACCCTGACTTCAAGAAAAGAGAGACATATATAAAAAGGGAGTTAATATTTATTTGCATATGTCAAATACTGAAAAAATTGTTTTATGTACCTTGGATATATGTATTCCAAATATCAGCACATAGCAACAAAAGGTAAGTGACTAAATAGTAAAATATATTTAAAACACACTTGCCAGAGAAAAGCATAATATTTTAAAATATAATAGATTTTACAGAGCAGTTGTAAAACACTCACAAAGACACACACACACACACTACCATGAAAACTGGGCAAAGGACCAATTTTTAAAGTGATTCTTCTCTTCATTGAAATTATTAACAGCTTCAATGTCCATCAGCTAGGGAACTGACGAATCAAGGATAATATTTTTTTTAATGCATTGATTAAAATAAAGCAGATACATATGTCCCTGATTCTCTCTCTCTCACACACACACCACATGCACATCATGATCCCAAAATACAGTGCAAATTGAAATTTTAAGAGATTAGTACTGGGTGATTAGCATGTGAACATTTTCCTTAATAGCAGAATGGTATATATCACACACATACATACTTATAGAAATGAATTATATTTAGAAAAGTATCAAAAAACATACTACTTATAGTTTGGGGTAGGGAAACTGCATTTTATAATTTTTAAATGACACAATAACTATATATATTTGTGGCATATATGTGATGTTGTGATACATATAATATATAGTGATCAGAGCAATAGTATATTCATTATCTCAAACATTTGGAAATAGCATTCTTGGCATTACAGGCAGGAGGAAGACCTGCTCTTTAAAATATTCAACCTGGCAATATTTGAAAAGGTGTCATAATCATGCTGCTTTAAAAATACTTTAAAAAATCTTACCTTAGGATACGGTATGTGACTCACACTCACATATCACTAAACCTCCACAACTATCTTCTTTTGTAGACATGAAATATAGTGGTATTCTTAGACCAACTTCAAGCTCCGGAAGATTGAGTAAAATGGTGAGTTAGTTATAATTTTAGTTTTGAAACTCAGTGCTCTTTAAATATATCACACATGAACACGCTGCCATTACCCCCACCTTCATTTCCTCTACTGGAAGTTGGTAAAAGTTATTTAGCAAATACAAATGAAAAAATTATGCTTGGTTTCTGTGAATTAACAATTATCAAAGATTTCTATATCCAGAGGTAGATATATAGACATTGGTGCAGATCGAGACATCCTGACATCGAGACATCCTGTAAATGTAATTTACATCTGTCTATTTATCTCAGTTATAATTATAGACATAAGGATAACACATTTGAATGAAGCAACATGAGACAGGTCATTTTAATCTGTTCACTGATTAATTTTAGCATTTAGAAAAATACAGATGTTTACTACATATTTGTCAAGTGGATCAAAAAATTAAAAATAGTTACTATATATGTGTATACAGATCAATAATGCTCCATACTATTCTCTATTAGTTGTCTTTAAGAAGAAGGAAGCTTACATCCTAATATATCTGCAGCAATATCATCACCACCTTGGAGCATTTATCTCTTATACCTGCATCTATCAACACCCTTACCTGGTAATGCCCATTTCCATCAGGAACTATTATGCATGTCTTTTATTTCCATCTCCTCATTTTGGATTACTAAGCACTCCTGGAAGTCACTAAACTTCCTAACCTCCTACAAGGAGGCTGCAAGTGCCCCCTTGTGTGTTAGTTTTGGGCTGTGCCATTGATTAGAACCACTTTCTCCAAGTATTAAATACAACTAAGTTATTGCTCTAAACAGATCTTACCAGCTTTGGTAAGAGATGGTGCAATTTAGGAAGTTCACCTGTTATCTTTTCTTCCTGAGACAATTTGGAAGCCACATACTCAAATAAGAATTAAAAAAATGTTTATAAGTTAATGCTTGGTTATTATGGAACTAGGATCTCTTTGATCTCAAAGAAGTGAATGTTATCGCCTTTAATGCCAGAAGGCAAATTCAGTCTGAAACTTTCTAAAATCAACCCTCACACAGAATTCTGACTGGAAAAATTTTCTCTTTTGCCTTCCCAGGAGAAGTATTTAAGTATTCAAGGATTGCATGAATGATGCAAAATATAGGAGTCTGGGGAAGGTCATTCCCTAATGTGTCCCTTCCCTCCCAATTAAGGAACATTGCCAGATGTGATAGAGAAATTAATCCTCAATTTGGCTTAGATTATGGAAAAAGAGGTGGCCCCTTCTTGCTTTTAAATTTGACAATTTAGGTGATAATGACATTTTAGTTAGAATATAAAATATGGTCATACAACAACCATGTCTTTGTTTCTAATACCATTCTCCAATAAAATGACCAGTGTTCTGGAAAGTGACCATTACCTGATCAGTTTTGAATAGCCAGTATTTGAGGCAAATAGAAAGAAAATCCAATAGGGTGATTAAACCAAATGACAGGACTTAGAAATTTATAGATGGAAATTCACATATATGGTCAAATGCTTTTCTTATATTAAACTTGTAATACTCAAGTCAAATGCAGTGACTCAGTCTATAATCCCAGCACTCTGGGAAGCTGAAGTGGGTGCACTGCCTGAGCTCAGGATTTCAAGACCAGTCTGAATAAGACTGAAACCCTGTCTCTAAAAATAGCCAGGATTTGTGGTGGGCACCTGCATTTTATCAGCTACTTGGGAGACTGAGGCAAGAAGATCTGTTGAACCCAAGAATTTGAGGCTACTGTGAGCTATAAGGCCATCCTACCAAGGGCAAATAAGTGAGACTCTGTTTCAAAAAATTTTTTTAATAGTAAATATATACCAATAACCAAAGATGAATACAAGTCACGTTGAGCACCTCTTGTAACTGCAGAAGTCAAATGTGACTTGAATATTACAAATTTAATACAGTTTCCCCTTTCTTAAAATATGTATACATTTTTGTACCCTCTGTAAATATGTCACTAAAATTGTTATATTTATTGAACAGCATTGTTCTGACACTTCTATAACCATATTCATTGTTTCCAATGAATTAGAGCAAATTTTGGACCTAAAATAAAAGACATCTGAGTTGAGTCTGGGAGGATTATTATTAGTTAACAAGATGAAGAAAGCATGAAAGACGTTCTGCAGAGAAGGAACATTGAGAAGCCTACAATCATCTCAGCCTCATTATCAATGCTCCCCTAACTCAGGATTCAAAAGCATCTCATAAAACTCATTGGAATCTCTGCATCTTAAACCATAGTCTCTGTCCTATATATTTTCAAGAAGATATTTGTCTCTGGCTCCTTTTTTAAAAATTTCTACTTATTTCTGCTATAATTTTCTCTGTCTTCCTAGATGTTACTGACTAGGACACAGGCATCAATTTCCTTCAGCTTTAAAGTCCATAGTCAGAGTCCAAATCCACTGTTATATGTACATACTTTATTTTTCATTTAGTCCCTTTTTATTGCATCTCTACATTCTCCTATGGCCAATCTTGGTTCCTACTTACAAGCTCCGCGTATAAATCTGGGCAATCTTGATTGTGCAGTAAGCAATTCAAGAGTTTTTTTTTTTTTTTAATTATTGTTGTTGTCCATTTGTTTCTAGAGTATGTAAGGATTAAAGGAAACACTAATAATATTTAAGAAAACTCCAATGCTGGTGAATATCCTTGGTTAGATGGGGCTTAAGGGGCAACTTTCTATATAACTGATGCCACAATCATTGTGTATATATATATCTTGGCCTGCTCTTCTCTTGTTTTACCTAGATTTAAATACAGAGTTTCCTTGGATTCTATAGTCATGGACCTAACAACCCCATCTGCATCATGGATTCTTTTTCCCAAAAGAGTAAAGAGAAACAAACTTTTATATTTAATCCAGTTTTGGAACAGGAAGTAACAATTCTTGTTTATCTTCCCACTCATACTGGAGATGAAGAACAGTGATATTGTGGAATAGTAGGGGAACTACAGGAATTTCATCATCCCCTATTAAAAGGTAATGTATTAATCAGAGCCTAGCAGAAAATGTGACTAAAACAG